TTTAAATAGCTGTTGTCAGCCATCACAGATCTACAAATCCCAACATGCATCTGCCTCTGGGAGTTATGCCTGTGGCTGTCAGAGCCTTGCAATGCCTCATGGGACTTGTAGTTCCAAAACAGCTGGAGTGCCAAGGTTCGCTACCACTGCCCTAGGAGAAGAAGTATGCTACTAGCAGGATCACCCGGTGAACGTAATGAAGAAAAAGTAGGAAAAAAAATTAACAGCAGCCTCCCACCTCCCCCACTAGCTAGTGCATTGATCCACACACTAGAACCAACAGCCCTGCAGTCTGGAATAATCATGCTGAGCAAATGATAGCTGCCATTTGCCAGCATTATGATTGTAACAGACTGCAGGCCTCAATTCTGGTATATGAATCACTATACCAGCATGCAGGGGCATCACACCTGGGAACGGGAGAGCTGGGAAGAATGCGGTTATTTTCACATTTTGTGAAAACGTCTACTTTCCCTTTTAAGAAACTAAGCCAATTATCTAGAGGCAGAGCCAGCTGTACCCACCCCCTCCCCTGTCTGTTACGCCAATCAGCGCTGGCGATCGGAGCGGGGAGGGGGGAATCCAGCCCCTCCCCTGTCACAGCAGAGAGCCGTGACAGGATCGAGAGGTGAGCGAACGCCGGTATGTGTTCGCTCACCCCCGATGTACTGAGCCGACCGGTGAGTCTCATTGCCATAGGTCGGCTAGAACAATGTGGTGAGTGAAAAGCACTCACCTCATAGTTCTCCTTTAATTACTTGATAGAGTGGAGGAGAGTTTTTAACTTCCGATTATATTTTATTTTTAACAAGGTGGAAAGAATGAGAACCGCAATGGCTAAATAGGCCGAGGCAGCAGCCGAACTGTTAGAGAGCATACACATGGTGCATGGCACAAAATTCCAAGAAATAGGATAAGTAGGTTAAGGTGGCCCTGATATGGGGTCACTTATTGGAGCCTAGGGGCTGTTTGCATCCGTAAATTTATTGGCATCAGTAGCCTATTGTCATTTTCCAGATAGGTTAGTCATGCAAGAACTCTGTAGGTTTAAAGTGCGACAGTTGTGTCAATCCACGGTAGAGGGGACTAGATAGAAAAGAGGGAAAGAAGAGAGACCAAAGAAAACAGAAGGTTGGGGCATGACAACCTAAGGCATTAATCACACCATGCAACACCCCTACTGTGGGTTAACAGTGCAGTGGATGCATTGCCATTCATTTGAATAGCACCCCAAACACATCTCCTGCTCGCAATGTGCTCAATCGCACCGCAATACCGGTAGGTGAGTTGTGCAATTAACACATCAGACAGTGTGTATGGGCTAGCGTGCGAGATCCTGGGCTGCCAAGTACTTGTACCCTTGTGGTAAGCCTGCATATATCGACACAGTTCAGCTGACAAGGTGTGAACAAGTCCTTAGAGGAAATCTCCCAAAGTGTGGAGATGCCCCCATATGACAGCTGTCCCTGGAAAAGGTGTCCAAATTTTAAGACTGTACCTTCACCTTCTAGGAACAACTTAAATGTTAGATTTCCCCCTTACCTTCTTTCTTGGCGACAATAGTCATCAGCACAAATTATTATTATTATACAGGATTTATATAGCGCCAATAGTTTGCGCAGCGCTTTACAATATAAGGAAGACATTACAGTCACAATACAATTCAAGACAAGATGGTAAGGGGGGCCCTGCCCGTGAGGGCTTACAATCTAAAAGGGAGGGGCTAGTGATACATGAGGAGGTAGCTGTGCAGGGATGATTGTTTGAGAAAGTGATAGTTCAGTGGTTAGGTTGAGGTGGGATAGGCTTCCCTGAAGAGAGGAGTCTTAAAGGATCGCCTAAAGGCAGTCAGTGTGGGAGATAGACGGGACAGGTTGGGGTAGAGAGTTCCATAGGATGGGAGACACTCAGTGAAGTCCTGGAGGCGAGCATGGGAAGAGTTGATGAGGGAGCTGGAAAGCAGGAGGTCTTGTGAAGAGCGGAGGGGACGGTTAGGGTGATACTTTGAGACGAGGTTGGAGATATAACCGGGATGGCTTTGTACACGGTTGTTAATATTTTGAATTTTATTCTTTGGGCTATAGGAAATCGGGGGTGAACCTCCCCATGGGGAGACAGATAGCCAGAAAAAACTGGACAGCGAACAAAGTGGAAAAAAATATGCTTCCATGCGTCCTGTTCATATCAGAACAATCTGTTGAGGTGCGCTGCAGTGTTTCAACTTTTCGCACATCACCACAATGAGCTACACAGAGTTGAAGTGTAATTTTGTGACACTTTAATTCCCCCACCCCCTTATTTTGAACGGTGCAAATGCGTTGTAACTGAGCAAACACCAGAGTGCACAACGTTGCATGACAGAATAAATGTCAGTCAAAGTACCGCAGCGCTGAATACTGAAAAATGGCCGGGACAGGAAGGGGGTGTAAACACCCTGGCCTTCAAGTGGTTAAAATCCACGGACTGGCAAGGAACACACACGGGAAAAGTTGAAGAACTTTGCCTATGAAAACACACAACTTTAGAAATGACAATCTACAAACACATACTTCTAGATAATTGCAGGCTTTGTATTCATTTCATATCTTATTTCTCTTTTCCTTCTCAGTCTTCTGACAGTAGTCATGTTTACTAAGGGCAGATTGCTAGATCCCCTTTTACTTCCTGGAACTCTGGCACATGTGACCATGCACATCTCAGGGGAGGAAAATGCCTTTCCCCTCATAGATCTCATGAGATTACAGACAAGATTTTCCACCAATGCTCCGAAGATGCAACGCTTGGGCACAGGCTGCATCATTAATGCCTAATATGACCAGGAAGTGGAAAAACAATAAAATATGTTTAACTAATTAATGCAAGATGATTTAATATCAGCATGCAGAGCTGCATGATGATGTTATTTTTAGTCAAAGACGGTAAATGGTCTGCTTTAAAGAGAAAAAAAAATACCCTTGCAGTTCGGCTCTCAATGCATTCTAAGGGTTAAATGCTATTCTACACCCAGGACACCTGTAAAAAAGGACTTCCACTTGCCTTATACGCCAAAAAGGCTCCCTTCATGCTATGAGACTGGGTACCACAACCTTTTTTTCCAAGGAACTCCAGGCCAGCAGTCACCACCACCCAGACATCATCATGTACAATGGAGGACCAACAGCCCTGCACTGTACATGAGGACACAGAGATATTATTTTTTTAGCCCGTGGACGTGCATCAAAACTTCCCCGTGAACAAAAAAAGTGCAACCGTGAAATCACAGCACACAAAAATGTGCACAAGGGTGCAAGGTCCTTCCAAAGAAGGGACCTTCTTTCCCGGGGCGCAAGGCTCCTGACAGGGGTTGAGACTGTTGGCCCACCAACCCGAAGGCCGGTGGACCATTTCCTTCGGGGACCTGCCGAAACAGATCCCCCTCAGTACTAGGCAGGGGGGATCTCCCGAAGAGAAACCCCCCTCCTGGGTGGGAGGAGACAGAGAACCCCCGTAAGAGGCACAGAATCTCCTCCCAGCGTCAGGAATAGGCCCCGAAGAAACCTGCACCTTCAGCATCTGTGGGTCAAAAAGCTTTAAAAAAAGCCAAAACTTGCAAATCGTGCATAAATACTAAAGTGCCAGTGCACAACGCTGACAGGCCTTAGGGGCCGGGTGTTAAAAAATTGCCCCGGACTAGCCATAAGCTAGGTGTGTGACCAAGTGATCAAGTGAGTCAATGTGGGTTCCCACACCCAAGTGACTACCTGAGCACCCCTGGGACGCCATCCCCAGGGGGCACAACACCACAGGTTTCTGCCGCCCCCAACCCTCCAGCCAGACCAAGCTTCGCATCCATTCTCTCAGGAGGCATTCGCACCTTCAGAGCCTCCTGCCTACAACTGGGGACAAGCCCGGCATAACCGGACCAGAATCAACCCAGGAGGAAAGGAGGCCCCTCCAGTACCCACCAATCACATCAGGGAATACCGAGCATCTCTACGTACCGGTGGATCGATGCCTTTCTTCCCCGAAAACTGATAAGAACAGATACTACACTTGATCTTAGCCAAAAGGCCGAGAAGTACATGAGGACACAGAGGGTCCACCCACAACCAAGACCATCAATAAGAAAAGATTTGAGCACCAGCTGCCGGAGGCGATAAATAAAAGTCCTTTTTCCTAGTACACTAGACATAAAACAAAAAATAACCTCCCATTTACATAGCCACATAGCAAGTAAATGCACCTGGTGCTCACCAAATACTTTTGCAAACCCAGAAAGTACCTTATAAAAGTAGTGGTGACATCATCACTGTGCAGTACATAGCCTGCACAGAGAAAAGAACTGTGGCCCCACCCACCAAAGGCAGCCTGCAGAAAACTACAGGAGGGGGCGGAGGCAAGACCAGTCACCCTGCACAAGGAGAGAGGGCAGCAATGGACAGTCTGAATTACAGGAAGCTCCTGTAAAATTCTCACTTTGGATTAGTGCACAGATATGAAATAAATACACAAAGCCAAAATTTAGACAATATTTGCTTATCCAAGAGTTCACCTCTAACCCTTGCAGTGCCCAACCACAAGGGTATCCCCCCCCCCCCCCTTCAGCTTTAATTACAGAATTGTTCTATTTGAGACTCATTACTGAGAACAACACTGGAACAATGTCCTGAAAATGGAACTAATGCAAATTAAAAAAATTGTTCTGTGCACCAACTGTCATACGTTTGTCTTTGTGACAACAATTCAGCAGACAAAAAACAAGGATTAAAGTTAGTAAATACATGACATGTGTGGCAGCGGCCCTCCCATTCATAATTGAATGTCACAAGCAGGAATCCATAACGTGCCATGATGCAACACACACACACAACCTTCACTGTGAGGTCCCCATACCAGGTACACCAGCTCCATGGGAAGGCCAGGAGGGCGCATGTGACAGGCAGAGACGGCCCGGTGTGTGTGTATGACCTCTCTGGTGTCAGGAGAGGGAGGGAAAGCGGCAAGTGGGTCAAGACACCTACCTATCGCTACAAGTTCCAGCGGGCCTCCTCCCTACACAGCCAGCGCTCGTTGCCGGCCTCTCTGCTCGTCACACTACTGTTCAGGGAGGCTACAACAGCAGCTTACATGCGCCAGACAGCCACTCTCCCCATCTCTTCCGGTCTCGGCGCTAGCTTCGGGTCGACGCTCGGTATTTAAGACTGCGCATGCGCGGGCGCCTCAGGCGAGCTGCGCAAGCGCGACAAGCACCTCGCAGCCCCCTGGGTTGGTTGGCCAGCCGAGAAAGTCGCGTAGCCGTGGTGACGTCACGCGGCGCGGCTTTTCTGACAGCAGGCGAGGGCCAATCGGCGGCGGTCGTGGCGAGAAAAAGGGGCGGTGCGCAGAGGCGTCTAAAAAGGGCGTCTCGCTGAGAGAGGTCGTGCGGTGCTTGTGAACCCATTAATTAGAAGCCCGGGGTTGTAGTCGTGCAGTTTACAGTAGTGTACTCAGAGGAGGCACACAATCGTCCGGTGAGAGGTGACGTGAAGGAACGGAGAAAATAATGCCATCTTTTACTTGATTGGTTTGCTGTTGAGCTAAGCCAGCACGTGATTGGCTGGCGCAGCTGTCAGAGTTGAAACATGCCTTGTTTGACGTGAAGGGCGCCGAGTTCTTGCGCGTTCGCGGTTTTATTGGCTGAGCGAGTGTAATAGGCGTGCCTGATAGCCAATGAGGAAAGGGGATGGTTTCAAGCGTGGAGTGCGAGTCGAGAAGCGCAAAGGGAATGTTGTTTTCCTCAATGCGAAACTGCCGAGGGGAGGGGGTAACAGAGAACCCCGGATGTAACATGAGATCATCGTCAGCCAATAAGCGAGGAGGGTGACGTCATCGTCTTCAACCAAAACATCTTACCCGGCCTGTCTCTCCTAACTGACGTAGGGCGTGGCTAGACAGACAGTCCAGGAGAGGTTATGGGGGAGATGTTTATCCAGGAGGAGGAAGAGGTGTCACCATGGTTACAGTGTTAAGGAGCAGGCCTGCTGCTCACAACATGGCCTCAATTCACAAAACTTTAAAAGATATGGAAACCCAGAACTGTATGACATTTAGTCTGCTGAAGCATTCTGTATACTAAACAAATTACAATTTTTAAATAAAATACTTCTTTTCACCTATATTTTCATCCTTTGTTACATCTGAGTACTGTTGATCTCGTTGTTGTGCAGCTTGTTTGCATCCACTTCCTGTTTACATGCACTTAAGGGAGGGGCTGCATGGTGTTTCTCAGGCGGCTTTCCTGACTGTGACATCAGTGGATCATGCCTCCATTATGTGTTGGAAGCTACTGCATGTAGTCTCTATCAGAAGTCTGTGTTACATAGTAACATTGCAGGAACACAATTGGGAGACAAGGACAGAGCGTTGTCACCCTATAAAACTACAGAACGAGCTCATGATGTTCTTCCAAAGAGAATTAAACTTTATTGCACACGCATCTGTACAAAAAGCAACCTATGGCGGTTTTCTGCATTACGCGCCCTTAGTCATAGCTGGGCGTGAGCCAACACCAATGCCACTAAAATAGCACGCCACATAGGGTGGGGAGAAAGACAGGAGCACTTGTATCTAGTAGATAATCCACCAAATTGGAAGGGGGTCTAAACACCTGGTCTTGAAGTGGTTAAAACAAACAGACAGTTTGTCTGTTTACAATATAAAGCTAGGTTGAGACCCTGTTGAATCTAGGTTTACAAATTAACAAAGGGTCCACAGGGCCTCACATTGCAACAGTTTTCTGAACACATGTAAAAAAAAAACCCTGCATGTTTCCTCCATACATGTTTTCAAATACACTGGAAACTGGGAGAAAGAAATGACCAAGGCCCACTCCTCCAAATAAAATGAAGTCTAGCACCTGGTTAAGTTGCAGGATATTAACACAAAGTCATCATAAAGATGCTCATACACTATTGGCCCAGATAGGCAGTTTTAGACCTGGTTTGGATACAATCATATTATTTATGGAGAGCAAACTAATTCCTCATCCAATATGCAACAGCACACTCTGGTTCTGCAGGTTCCAATGGAGAATCCTATTACACCATGATCCCATCTGCACATGCATGCGACCATCTGTACAATATGGCCAATTATTATTATACAGGATTTATATAGCGCCAACAGTTTGCGCAGCGCTTTACAATATAAGGAAGACATTACAATCACAAGACAAGACGGCAAGGAGGGCCCTGCCCGTGAGGGCTTACAATCTAAAAGGGAGGATCAGACTTCTACAGACTGGGCAGCCTCATTCAAGCTGGAGTTGATTAGAGCAATAAACAATGTGACCTTTTGTGAATCTGGAAATACTTTGTGGGTACGTGTAGGCTGCCTTTGATGCAGGCAGTGATCAGAGTGTTAAATCAGACCAAATCTCCAAACACAAAGATATATTGGTGCATGCCCATCCATAAATATCATAAGGCTTCATTAACACTTCTTGTGAATGTGCATTTTTGGATTCCTATGGCAGGAGCTAAGAATTCCTGTGGCAGCAATCCCAAATATGCTCTCTAAAAGTGGCCTCTGTCACCCGTTCAAGTTAATGATCAGAGGGTGATGGGGGGCGCATCTGCAAGCATCAGATCGTATGTGAAATATTTGCATAAGGTTTGGAATAGATCACTGTCCTTGGACACATCTACCGTGCGTCCAGGGATAGTGATCGACTCCTAAACGCAGCGGCTGCTTCTAAATTGCATGTTTGGGATTCCTGCCGCAAGAATTCCAAAACGCATATTCACAACTAGCGTGAATGAAGCCTACGCGTCTTTTTAACAATCAAAACACTTTTGGTAAACTTACATTTTATTTTTCTATTTCCTGGTTACCCTGAGCCACTGGTGACGTAGCCCTGGCCTCACAGGTGTTCCCTGGAAAGGCTACATCACAAGTGCCCTCCAGGGAGATCTCATCTGATTTTGCGCATGCGCTATATGAAATCCGGGGCAGCTTGGTATACAATAAGCAGCACCAGATCTGGTGCAGTGCATGCACCTTGGTGGTAGCATGTGAGGGGGAACTTGCAGGAGAGATGGTATCCGCCTGCAGGGACATACTGTATTAAGGGGATGACAGGGGACTCCTTCCGGCCAGCGCAGTACCAGGGAGCACTCCAGTACCATACTTCACCAACTGCTGTCCCCCTGAAGGCACTGCTTAATGTAATGGTACTGTACTGTATTGTGTACCGGAAAATGGTACCGTACTTTACCACGCTGTCCACTGTCTGATGTCCCCACTGCTGCACCGCTGGTACCACTGTCCCTGATGGGAAAGGAAGCCGGCGCTGTAGAAAGCAAGGCGGCGGCGGAGGGAGCAGAGCCGCATTATCCGATACTTCCTCTATAGCGCCGGTTACTGTGACAGGCGGAGTGATACAAGATAACTTTAGAATTTTGTACATTTTGTTGCACATTAAAAAAAAATAAAAATAAATAAGACACCCCCTGAAAATAAGACCTAGTTTAGTTTTTAGGGGCAAGAAAAATATAAGACAGTGTCTTATTTTCGGGGAAACACGGTATATCTATTACAACTATTGCAATGTACTACTAGAGCAGTGCACACATAATACAATAAATAAATAATATTTACATGCATAGTATAGAACATAGAATGTTTCATCCAGTTGTAGAACAGAGGTACCCTGGTTCATAGGTAAAGTATACTTAGGGGTCTATTTACAAATAATTCGTAGAGCCATTCGCCCTGCGACTATCTGTGAACGTTCCTCCTGAGACAAAAATTAATGTTCTTAGTATATATTTTTTTCGGGTTAAATGTAACATTATGCCTGCTAGCTGGATCTAAGGAGAATAGGATTATGAAAAATAGCTATATAGTGGCCATAATGCAGTATTTTCCAAATGTTACATTTGACCTGAAAATGAAATATACAGTTGTGTGAAAAAGTGTTGGCCCCCTTCCTGATTTTTCATTGTTTTGCACGTTTGTCACACCTCAATGTTTCAGATCATCAAACAAATTTAAATATTAGTCAAAGATAACACAAGTAAACACAACATGCAGTTTTTAAAGGAAGGTTTTTATTATTAAGGGAAAACAAAATCCAAACCCACATGGCCCTAAAACATAACTTAACTCTGGTTTATTTCAATTTCTCTCAGGCCTAGTTAATAATAAAAACCTTACTTTAAAAACTGCATGTTGTGTGTACTTGTGTTATCTTTGACTAATATTTAAATTTGTTTGATGATCTGAAACATTAAAGTGTGACCAACGTGCAAAACAATGAAAAATCAGGAAGGGGGCCAACACTTTTTCACACAACTGTACTAAGAATGTTTGCTTTTGCCTCTATTTGCACAGAGTGAACATTCACTGAGCCATGGGACGAATGGCTCTGTGAAGACTGTTATGTGTGGTAATTGTCCTTCTATAACCTTATTCAATCAGTCCCTGTGTTATGAAAAACAAGAACTGGCTCGTTGCATCAAACAATACCGGAGGTGCCTGACATTTTCTTGTTTTCTGGGTAGATTTCTGGGAAAACCAGTGAGCTAATCGTACAACCAGGGAATGAGATTTCAAACACTGGTTACGAGGAAGCAGCAATGTTTTAGCAGTTTTAGAAAAACACAGATTAAAATAAAAAAGTAAATTTTTAATATTATAATTAAGTGTAGCAATTGTAGATGTTTTATATTTTTTTTTTAAAGAAATGTAAGACTTTTTTTAAAATATGTATCAAGCGCCTAAGCCGACCTGGACCATATAATTGCACAGCTGAAGAAAAGATCTTCTCAGTTGTAATAATAAAGCTCTCTTGTGCATTGCTAACTTTACAAGAGACGTTGTTAGTCCAGTTGTCACATTTGACTCTCCTGTAAAATGACTAGAGTGGCCCACGTCATGACACATAAGCCCACAATGAGTTTATTGTCACATCTTGTTCCACCCTTTGCCACAGTACAGTTGTCCTGGTAATAACAACATTACAAACCTTTATTGGATTTCCTATTTTAGGCCCATCTGCTAGTACATGGATACTGTCAGTTAATGATGCTTAGCGAGAAGCTGGTTAACGTATCCCCATCGTGAGCATCTACATTTCAGTCGGGTTAAGCTGCAGTACGTAAGCAGTGACAATACTAATGGACCTTAATTTGTTATCTGAGGCTAAATCCCTGATTTGTGGAACGAGCGAAGGGGCCGTGTATTTGTGCGCACGTTTAAAACTGTTATCAACAAATC